CCACACACCCAAAACTGCTGAAGAAGGAAGTTATGGAACAAGCGTTGTGGGCACCCTGTACTCCCTTCCTCTCTCCAGTACAGTCGGGACGCTGAGGTCTGCTCTGCCGGAACCAAGGAACCACAACACGGAACAAGTGAAGATCTTACACGATATACTGATGAACTTCTGAACCAGTGATTATCACAGAGAAAAAAGGGAGGCATATTTAAATGCACTAACCATAAAGTAATATCTCTGCTTTCTTGTTAAATTAAATTTCTTTCCAACATCTTATTTTGCCGGCTCCTTTCTATTCTGCAATCGTTGAACAAGAGACTGGTCATTAGCAATGTGGTTCCGGCAGAGCAGATCTACTACAGACCATACGTTCATCTTCCCAACTGTACTGGAGAGAGGAAGGGAATACAGGGTGGCCACACATCACATCTTCATTGACTTGCAGCCGACATATTATAGCTTTCATCGAAAAGACCATTGCAATCACAAAGCTCACAATGGAAGATATTGTATTTGTGATTCAGGTACAAGATTGTAGACCATCGGTACCTCTACTTATATGTTTACTTTTTAATATGGCATTAGAGAGAGCAATAAGGATCTCTGAGGTTCAACTTCATGGAAGGATCAATACCGATGTTATCATGCTTAGACGAAATAGATATTGTAGGAAGATCGAGGAAAGCGGTAGTTGAGGCATTTCCTGCTCTGGAAGCTACTTCGTAGTACCCATTGTGAATGAAGCCAGATCCTAGTACTTGTTTCAGATCTACCATCAAGATTGAGAGGTACTCTGTGCCCCTACTCACTTAAGAAGGCTTAGAGATTGCCTACCTGTGATCAAGCTTCACCTGTAAGGAGTTTGCTGCAGTACAGATCAGGAGGAGCTTATTGACTAATTAAAGTTACAATTAAAGAAATTCTGAAAGAAATGAAACAAAAAATTAATTAGGAAACAAGATTACAGGAAAGAACAGAATATACTATCATTATTGAACACTTTCTTCATATGTGTATTTTTTTAGTTTTAAATATCAGGAAATATGATATAAAAAAAGTTCAGATAATTTAATCAAGAGAAGGTCCAAATCAGAATAAAACTCTCTTCCATATTGTTAAAAAATGATATAATATGAAATAAAAGAAAATTATCAACAAGGAACTAATTTATTCACATCAGAATCAAAGAAGACCAGTATTTTGAAGTAAGAAAAATTAGAGGTCTACCCTTTCCATATTTAGATGACCTGAAAATACAAGGTAAGAGAGTATAATTAAGAGTAGATAAGCTTCTAGTTTATAGAAAATATTTCTGATTGGAGGATTTTCCAGGCTTAGTAAATACAAGAACAAGCTCAACACTGAGGAGTTAAAAAAACTCACCAGAAATGTTGGAATTACAAAAATATTTTACAAAGACGAAAGCACTATGGAGGAAAAAAACCAAGATTTCAAAAATACACTGGAGCAATTTTCTGAAGATGTATCATTCCATTAATATAAAAAACAATGAAGATTAAAGCAAGGCAGTATCAATTGAAGAACAGAGAAAACCAACTGAGAAATTCTGAAAAAAACGAAAAAAAAAATCTATTAGGAAACAAGATTAAAGGAAAGAACAGAATATACTGTCATTATTGAACACTTTCTTCATATGTGTATTTCTTTAGATTTAAATATCAGAAAATATGATATAAAAAAAGTTCAGATAATTAACAGGGAATCAAGAGAAGGTCCAATTAGAATAAAACTCTCTTCCATATTGTTAAAAAATGGTATAATATGAAATAAAAAAAAAATATCAACTAGGAACTAATTTATTCACATCAAAATCAATGAATACCAGTATTTTGAAGTAAGAAAAATAAGAGGTCTACCCTTTCCATATTTAGATGACCTGAAAATACAAGGTAAGAGAGTAAAATTAAGAGTAGATAAGCTTCTAGTTTATGGATGATTGGAGGATTTCCAGGCTTAGTAAATATAAGCACAAGCTAAAGACTGAGGAGTTAAAAAAAACTCACCAGAAATGTTGGAATTACAAAAATATTTTACAAAGACAAAAGCACTATGGAGGAAAAAAACCAAGGTTTCAAAAATACACTGGAGCAATTTTCTGAATTTGTATCATTCCATTAATATAAAAAACAATGAAGGTTAAAGCAAGGCAGTATTAATTGAAGAACAGAGAAAACCAACTGAGAAATTCTGAAAAAAACGAAAAAAAAAAATCAATTAGGAAACAAGATTAAAGGAAAGAACAGAATATACTGTCATTATTGAACACTTTCTTCATATGTGTATTTCTTTAGATTTAAATATCAGAAAATATGATATAAAAAAAGTTCAGATAATTAACAGAGAATCAAGAGAAGGTCCAATTAGAATAAAACTCTCTTCCATATTGTTAAAAAATGGTATAATATGAAATAAAAAAAAAAAAAGGTAAGAGAGTATAATTAAGAGTAGATAAACTTCTGGTTGATGGAAAATATTTCTGATTGCAGGATTTTCAGGCTTATTAAATATAAGCACAAGCTAAAGACTGAGGAGTTAAAAAAACTCACCAGAAGTGTTGGAATTACAAAAATAATTTACACAGACGAAAGCACTATGGACGAAAAAAAACAAGGTTTAAAAAATAGACTGGAGCAATTTTCTGAAGATGTATCATTCCATTAATATAAAAAACGATGAAGATTAAAGCAAGGCAGTATCAATTGAAGAACAGAGAAAACCAACTAAACCTTAAAAAGAGAAAGGTACATAGCAACTAAAATATGTATTCAACCTTCAGAAAATAAATAATAGAATAGCTAATCTGGTTCTGAAAGTCAACCACAACAAAACTTTATCAATCATTCAATTGCATTCACCTGTTATGTCTGCCTTGAAGCAGAAAAGGACAATTTTGACTTTGAGATCGAAAGAAGTCCGTCAAGTTTGAAAAGGAAAAATAACTGTATTATGGGAGATTAATGGACGTGTAAGAGAAATATTTGAAGGAGAAGAAGGCTTAATGGAAAAAAATACATTCGGAATAATCAATTTATTATTTAGCCCAAGCCTCCATGTTAGAAATACTTATTTTATAAAAAAATACTCTGTAACATATGGAAAAGGATATCACCAAAAGGGCAGAAATATGCGAATGACAATTTTCTTACATATCAAATTAGTGAAAAACATTGAAAAATCATGAGCTTAAATTTCATCTCGGAACAGAATTATCAGAGGGGAAATACATTTAAAAAAATTTAAAGAAAATCGACCCATTAGAATTTTTCAACAGATTATTACAAAAAGAATGGAAAGTCAAAAAGAATAGAAAAAATATTTAGGGAAGAACTGGCCAAGAAGAAGACTTAGAGATGATTAAGAATATAGATGATTCATTGCAGAATCAAAGGATGAGGGCACCTACCTAACTCTTGTGAAACAAGAAAAATACAACCAACTGATAGAAACTATTAAAGAATATGCCAACAATCCTCAGACACTTTCAATAAAATGAAGATTGAATGAGCTCTCACCAAATACAGTAAAACTCCTTAGATTAAGGCTATAAGAAATGATATATTGCAAGGAAAAAAAAGATGCAAGTACAAACACTGAAAATATATATACATTTAATGAAATATATTTAAAAAGATCTTTTTTATTTGTCTTTTAGTAGGCAAAAATCAAATCCATTAAGCAGCTTAAAAGAAATCTCTCATTTTTAATGTATTGGATTGGTAACCATCAAGATATAAATAAAGTCTTGGTCACAGCAAGAGCTGACATATCAAAGGAAGCAACAGAATTCTTCACGGCTTCGTATAAAAAATTTGGAGGAGAAGCTGAAGATATTTCCAAAAATGTAGAAGAGGATGATGAACTGGTGCCACAAATAAAATTTGAAGTACAACAATAAAAGCAATAAACAATTTAGAAGAGTGTGAAAATTCCAAGATTTGATAGTGCGAAGAATGAGTTTTTACTAGAAAGTGGTGTATTATAATATTGGCAAACAAACTGCTTGAAAAATTATTTAAATTAATTTTCGTGAGAAAAGAAATACCAGAACAATAGAAATTGGCAAAAATTGCTATCCTGTAAGAATGCCTAACCAAACAGGCTATAGAGAATATAGCGATTGAACAGACTGGATTCCGAAAGGGGTTTTCAGTAATGGACCATGTCCAGACAATAAATCAATCTATAGAAAAATCTGCAGAATATAATTTTCCAATGTATTTCTGTTTTCATGACTTCAGGATATTCAAAGCCCTCAGGACTTCAGGAATACAGATGTATACAGATTATAGACCAACTATTCAAGGATATGTTAGCATACATTGAAATAATTAGAAAAGAAAAATGTTTACCTCATGCTTAGAAAACATCACTATGCTAAACGAACTAATACCAGAATGTAAACAAGTAGGTTTAATGTTAACCAAACTATAACATGCAGCGATAAAAAGCAATGAAAAAGTCATGGGATATATTTTCATAGGTAAGTCTCTAGTTACTAAATATTTTCGTTTGATAGGAATATTAACATTTATTCATTTTTCTTGTCCTTCAGATACATTTAAAGATATTTAAGCAATAGTCAACTCTGTAAGAATCTTGCAGTGAAGATTAGGAGGAACAGATTTAATACAATATTTGTTTTTTTGGAACCCGAAAGCATCTCTCAATCAATTTGAAAACAGAAAATGATTGATAAAACAAAAAGTTTGATTTATAAACTATTTGACCCACTAACAGATCATAACGAATAAACAAATAATTTAATCCAGTAGCTGGTATTGGAATTTCAGGAGTAAAGAAGAATTAAAGATATTAAAAAAAAAAAAAGCCTATACATTACAATAGAAAAAAAGAGAGATATTTACGAACAAGAAGTAAAAACAGATATTGTATGTAAATATTAAATAGCAGTTAAAGAATAAAATTACAAATTACGAAACTAAATGTGGATTTCAAACAATAAAGAATGAAGAAAGTTTATGAAAAGTAGATTTAATGTTAACCAAACTATAACAAGCAGAGATAAAAAAGTCATGGGATATATTTTCATAGGTAAGTCTCTAGTTACTAAATATTTTCGTTTGATAGGAATATTAACATTTATTCATTTTTCTTGTCCTTCAGATACATTTAAAGATATTTAAGCAGTAGTCAACTCTGTAAGAATCTTGCAGCAGTGAAGATTAGGAGGAACGTATTTAATACAATATTTGTTTTTTTGGAACCCGAAAGCATCTCTCAATCAATTTGAAAACAGAAAATGATCTATAAAACAAATTTTTTTATAAACTATTAGTCCCACTAACAGATCATAACGAATATAAAATAATTTAATCCAGTAGCTACTATTGGAATTTCAGGAGTAAAGAAGAATTAAAGATATTAAAAAAAAAAAGCCTATTCATTACACTTGAAAAAAACGAGAGATATTTACGAACGAGAAGTAAAAAAATATATTGTATGTAAATATTAAATAGCAGTTGAAGAATAAAATTACAAATTACGAAACTAAATGTGGATTTCAAACAATAAAGAATGAAGAAAGTTTATGAAAAGTAGGTTTAATGTTAACCAAACTATAGCACGCAGAGATAAAAATAATAAAAAAGTCATGGGATATATTTTCATAGGTAAGTCTCTAGTTATGAAATATTTTAGTTTGATAGGAATATTAACATTTATTCATTTTTCTTGTCCTTCAGATACATTTAAAGATATTTAAGCAGTAGTCAACCCTGTAAGAATCTTGCAGCAGTGAAGATTAGGAGGAACATATTTAATACAATATTTGTTTTTTTGGAATCTGAAAGCATCTCTCAATCAATTTGAAAACAGAAAATGATCAATAAAACAAAAAGTTTGATTTATAAACTATTTGACCCACTAACAGATCATAACGAATGTAAAATAATTTAATCCAGTAGCTAGTATTGGAATTTCAGGAGTAAAGAAGAATTAAAGATATTAAAAAAAAAAAAAGCTTAAACATTATGCTAGAAAAAAAGAGAGATATTTACAAACGAGAAGTAAAAAAAGATATTGTATGTTAAAAAAAATGAAAAATATTATATTGAAAAACTAAAGTATTGTAAATATGAAATAGCAGTTGAAGAATAAAATTACAAATTACGAAACTAAATGCGAAGTTCAAACAGTTTATGAAAATGAAATATCGATTAAAAGATAATGTTTTATTCTAAGAGAAAGGTTTCAAAACCCTAAAGGAGGAGTGTAATTATTATGATAAAACGCAATCAAGGAGAATAAATAAATGAACAAAAAAATTAAGGATGCAAACATTTTAAGATAGAAAGAAAACTATTTTATAAAACCATAGTGGAATATCAATTATCTTTGCTTGCTTCTTCAACTTCTGACCGTCATCTTTTAAAGCAGAAAATATGGAAAGCTGATTAATTATGAATAAAGTTCGTTTGTAAGAAACAATTGTCTTTATTATTTCAGTTGTAATCACCTTTATAATTTCATTGGTATAAATGGATTATGATTAGAGAAGTTAAACGATACATGCAAATCATGAGAAGTTTTTTGTTTGTGACTATAAGATAATTTTAAGTCAAAGCAAACACACACACACACACACACACACACACACAGTGGATGAAACAATGGAACATTCCTTATTCTATTGGGCAGGTTTTGCTGGAGAAAAGGAAGAATATATATAACTATGTATGTATATATATATATATATATATATATATATATATATATATATATATATATATAAACTTCACTATTTAATTGGGAATAAGGTCACTTAATTTTAGGTTTTTAAATTTTGAATGTGTTACTGAATTAATGCTACTTTTTTTTTTAGCATATTACTAATGATTAAAAAAAATCCAATAATTGGAATCACCTTTTATTTATTTTTCTTTTTAGCGTTTTTTTTTTCTACAGATTAAATTAAAGAGTTTTAAGAAGCATATCTCAACTCAATAAGCTCTCTTTGAATGCCGAGAAGAGAAAAGCCATCCTGATCGGAGCCCCCTCACTCCTCAAATTCCTTACCACACCTTACAACCTTCTCTTGAACACCTCACTAATCCCCTTCCATATTACCGTTAAAAACATTGCTGTTATCTATGATCAAACCCATTCCTGGAAACTAAACATCTCCCAAATTTCCCGTCGTACTATTTACACTCTGAAACAGTTCAACCGTCTACGCTATCTCCTTCCATTCAGAAATCGTCAATACCATGTTTCCTCTCTTCTTGCCAACCACTTTGACTATATCTGTGTGGCGGACTCTCGGGAGAAGTGGAAGCCAAACTTAAACGTCTAATGAATTGCTCAATACGCTTTGTTTTCGGGATGTCAAGGGATACGCATATTACCCATAATTACACCGAGTTGAAGTGGCTCTATCCACCCCACCATTCCTATACCAGGTTATTATATCTCAGTGACCCTCCTATATTCTACAGAGTCTACAGTTTAAATCAAATCCTCCATTCCATCCCGTCCTACCAGATCCCGTACATCCGACCTTTATCCTCTTCCACACCAAACTGCTGCGTTTCTATGCGTGGAATTCTATTCCACCCGATATTCGAACACTCAAAGTCAGTATCCTCTTTAAAATCTCTCCTCTTTAATTTAATCACCATTTTCATTCCCGATACATTTCATTATGACCGTGAATTGATGAATGCACGTGAGATTCTAAATTGTAAGGTTCTCCAGATATTTTAATTTATTTTATTTTATCTTTATATGTGTAGACTTTTTCCTTACTACAAAAGGGATTATTGTAAAGTGAAGTACTCTCCATAATTAAATTATGACACTGCACAGTATTTTAACATAACCGTCCTCTCATCATTCCATATGATGTTGTTTCCCATCTGTGGTTTTGAACTTCAAACAGAAATACACCTTCAAACCTTCAACAAATGAATGTATGAATGAATGAAGTACGTCGAATTTTATATATATATATATGACAAATGTTTTAATAGACTCTTAAATATTATAATTTAAGATAATTATTTTGATTGGGTAATAGGACACTAAGATATATTTTGATAAAACTACAATAACTTCTGTGTTTATTTTTTTTATTCAAAGTTTCGATCCAGTTTTCCATAAATCATAAATTTATAAAACATTAAATAAAAACAATCATACGTATTTTGAACTAACCCCTGATTGCTCAAACTTAAATAACAAAAGAGTAAAATTTATACAGATGTCATCGTATGGAATATTTTAATACTATCAAAATTAAAGAAGTACAAATACAAAAATAAAAGAAGTGCACGAAGCGTTGAATAAAAAGTATAAGTTATACACAGAAGGTATTGTAGTTTATCACAATACATCTAATCTGATCCATTACTCAATTCGGATGATTCGGTATTTAGTGACTAAACTCTTTAAGGTGATTCAGGATAAAATGTCCAACAAATCGTTTATTTGATGCAGGTTTAGGGAGTTAATTCCAATTTAATTTTTTCTTAAGATGGTCTCATTTTCTCTTTTTTATAAGAAGCGATATCACAAAAATTATTTAATTCAAGTCATTAAAAATTGCTTTATAATAAACTAGACATAATTTCCTGCACATACAGGAAGAGTTTCTCTTTGTCAAAACCATTCATAGGGGACTTTTGAAGAGGATAAACTACGCTGAGATTTTTTTCATCAAATCATGGATTATTTGCGATTTTTTTATCATCCCAGAGCCTCACCATATAAACCATAATTTTAATATTAATTTAAAAAATACAGCATTTTCAAAATACATCATCTAAGATGGTAATGAACTATTTCTTTTAACACAGATGTCTATTGTGGAAATTGTATTTTTTATATTAATAAAAAGTGTATTTTCAAAATAAATTTCCTGATATAGATTTCAGATCGCAAGAAAAATAAGGAATTAAAGGTTTACAATAAATTCTCTGTTGTTATTTTTGCTTAAAATACTGGTACTCTAGAGTAACGTGGATAATCTGTAGTCCAGCTGAGGTATGATAAAAAAAAAAAAAAAAACGGAATATTCCATGAATTAATGAAAAACAAAACTTAGCGTAGTTTTGCCGCTCAAATGCCCCTTTCAAAAACAAATCCTACTTGTAATGAAATTTTTTGGTCTGCTACTTTAAATTTTGTCTTTGGTTCTGATAATTATTTTTATGTTAATTTTCTCAACCCTGCTTCCTAGATACTTGAACAGTACTCCCTATTTTTCAATACCATCGGAATTGTGTCTATTTTATTATGAAGGTAACCGTTAATTACTTAAATTAAATATTTTTTGTGGTAATTAATTTGTTGTGCATCTTTCTATGAAAGAGAAAACGTGAACACCTTAAGAAAGTACAAAACTGGACTTAAAACTTTATGAAATTGGCCCATACATTAAATGAAGTCTTTTGTTGGGAAATTGTTCTAGAGTCACCTCTCAGAATTGTCCATTAAGTACTGACTCACTCTGAATATATACAGTGGTGTGAATAATTCTTCGAAAAAACTAATATCATAAAAATGATAAAGTTTTCAATAAAAAAATGTTTTTATCTTCTTAATTGTAAACTGATTTAGCCTTACAGACATTTTGGATTTAAAATATATTTAAATTAACATTGTTTTCAATTAATAATAATTCAAGGGACCAATCTGTTTTGATTTCGTTATTTTCAGGGACTGGATATTGCTATCTTACAGTTTAAATTTCACTACTTTGTTACCCATTTCAATCTTTATTTTTTACAACTTCAAAAGCCGTTGTATAAACTCTAAGAAGCTGAGTAAATCTATAAACGTTGTAATAATATTGGTATTCTCCGTTGTTTTTTTTTCAGATATTTAATTTGAATGATATTGAATTTAAATGATATTTAATTCCATATTTCATAATATATTTTTGTTTTCTGTTAATTGTTACTCTTATTTCAGAAAATGGAAAAATATCTAAAAGATATTGCCGAAAAATGAAGTTCTGCCCAATCAGGTTAGTCCGTTTTGCTTCCGATATTCCGTCTATTCAGTAGAGGTTTCCAACATCAGATCAAGAAACCACCACCGTGTTAAAAAAATCTGCTCTATTCTTACTCTATCCAATTTTCATGTTATTTTGCAAACTTAAGTCGTCTTTAATAAATAATAGACCGAAGAAATAGTTTTTTTCTGAGTACATAATATTTAATGCCAAAGAATATAAGTTTCCTTTAATATGAGTCATTTAATTATAGACCACTTCCCGAGTCTGTTCTCTGCTAGATTTTTAGCCGTTTTGCCGACATAAATAATTCTAATTGTTGTTCATCAACAGTTGTTGTTTATTGAAAATACTTCTAACTTAAATGTATACTATATCTACGATGATGTCTGCTAGGTTAGATCAGTTTAAGATTAAGATAAAAACACTTTTAAATTGAAACATATATATTTTTTATAAAAATTAACTTGTTGGAAAACTTTTTCTCACAACTGTATATTCTCCTCCAACGAACTACCACCTTGCCGTGGTGGAGGAGCTCAGTACCCATGGGATCTGATTCCATGGGGAAGCTAAGTGTAGTTCGCCATTACCGAGACATGGCGGTATAGCCACCTCGAAATGTAGGAAATGACATGTCAGGAGTAGTAGGGACTCCAAGTCATAGCGAAGTCAGTCCATCTAGTGGCTGAAGAACCCAAAATAAAGCTTCCCGGACCTCCAGGTTAGAAAAACCACCTTTCGCATTT